GCGCAACTCGTAGGGGATTTCCTCTTTCCATTGCTGTATGCCGACTTCAAGGCGTTTCAGGCTCTCCACGTATGCTTTTGGCGAGTGCCGCACAGCATAGATAGTCTTGTAGAGTTCCATCTCCCAGACGGTGTATTTGGCAACTTGAATGCCCACTTGAAACGAGCATTGGTGAAACGAGTCCAGCTTGGCTCCTTCGCCAGGAAGGCAGTCATTCATGGGTTCTGGGAATTCGACGTCGATGTCATCTCTGCTAATGGGTATGGGCCGTCCAAGTTTCCCGTTCAGATTGACAAGTAGCGCGTGTACGGTCCAGTAGACTCGCTTTCTCATCTCAATATCCAGCTTGGTCAGTTCCCCTGCGCCGTCGGCCCAGACCTTGACAGATCTGTGTAGGCCAAGTTGTACTGCGAACAGATAGACAGTCGAAGTCATGATCCATGCTGCACCAGGCTTTGGAAAGTTTCGGAGATGGTGGCATATCATACCCAGGGCTTGGACGTCTTGCCAGCCGTGATTGCCACGGATGAGCTCCTTGTAAAAGCTCGCCGCATAAAGATAATGGGCATGCGAGTCGTCTAGCATAGTGCTACCACTCTGTTGGTTGTTTCGGGTCGCAATCTGGTAGGTGATGGTCGCGAGCATCAAATGTACAGCTACAATCTCGGGCGCAGAAGGGACGAAGCTGGGGTCATTGCCAAATCTCCAGATCTGTGTGTGTTAGCATGATGACATGTGGCAGCAGGAGCGTATCGTACCAGTTCCATAAAGGTAGGCTTGTGCACAAACATTGTGTAGGGGTTTAGCGACCGCAGATACCAGATGGCGTACTCTTGCAGCTCGCCGTATGCCGGTAGTGGCGGCTCCTCGACATGTTGACCGCCAATAGTGACGTTGACCAGGGTCGTGTAGGACATGGGAGAGCTTTCATACTCAGCCTCCCCCGTCATGAAGTCTGTGATGTTGATTTCGGTGCCGAAGATTGACAGTGATGTGCCCTTGATGTGACTCAGGAGTGCATCTCCAGCCGCAACGCCGAGGTAGTTGTCGCCAATAGAACCGTGCTTGAATTGAGGCAGAGATTCGATCTTGACCGGAGTGCCAGCGGGGACGTAGCCTGGTAGTGGGGAGGTGCTTGTCCGCCGCGGTCCATCGTTCCAAGCTTGGCCGTCGTTGGAGGCTGAAGACCATGGATGGCTGGGTGGTTGCAAGGCGTTGTAGGCAGGTGGCGCGCGGGGTTCGATATGGTTTTCCTTCAGCTGGGCCTGGAGGTCAGCGATGTGGGCGCGCAGGTACGAGTTCTCCGACTCCATGGCCTCCGCGTGGCCGCGTACTGTGGCGCGTCCGGTGATTCGGTCGGTGGTGCGACATGGCGTCCTGTTCTGCTCGCATGGTGTGCATCCTTCGGGTCGGCCGTCGCAGCGGATCTTGCGCACCTGTGGTGGTTGTTAGTTTGTTTGTTTGCTGGACGACATGTAAGAGGAAGGCGCGTCGCAATGACGTCGCAGGCGCGACGAAATGCTTGTGCGATGCGACTTGCCCCATTGACCTGGTGAAGCATCCATCTCCATCTCCCCCGTGGCAATGTGTAAGACGTACCTTGCACCGATCGCACGCCTGACCCGTCCGCTTGGAGTCGGCGAGCTTCTTCTTGACCGAGCCGGAAAAGTCATTGTTGTTGGACGGGCGGTGTTGTGGACTCAGCGGGTCTTGATGCTCGATTCGCTGGATCTTGGAGACAAGATTGGGGTCATCGTCCGGGGGTCGCTTGGTGGCCATACTTTTCGTAATGCACGTCGAAACAGGAACGAGACGGGAAATGCCGATGGAGAAGACCGATGCAAGTAAACCCAGCAAAGGTGGTGCGCCTCGGGTGGCTTGCGACTATCACCTGTCAAACGAAAGACACATGACTTTTAGCCTCGAGTTTTCTGGCTGCTGGGGAATTGAGCGTCGCGGCGATCCAGCGCGACCTCTGAAGCAGTCTGTAGTCCGGTCTGCGAAGAGAGTGAAGGAAGAGGTGAGGTTTGGCTGCGCTGGGAGTGAAAGGGTGCGATTGAAAGCGCGTTTCTCGGCGATGCCTGCAAGGGAACAGGCCCATTCTCCGCAAGCCCTCAGCTATCGACTCCAGTCCGTCCTTTATTGGCCACACACTGCCTTGAAACCTTGACCTCCAGACGGCTGTGACGGTGCCTGCCCTGACATATTCGGCGAATTTAGTTTGTTCTGCTGCCGATCGACACGATGATCCGTCCTGATTCGCCATAGGTTCTGCTTTCTCTGGGACTAACTCATAGCTTGGCCGTCCCCGCTCCTGCCCAAAGCGGCCCTCGAGCTTTAGACTCACCCACGATCTGGTATCCTTGGAGATTGCCAATGCAAATCGGTCTGACGAACCGCCTAGCATCATCTAGAGGGACATCACAGCTACCGTCATCCAACACAGTCACCGCTACCACGCAACCAACGAAACATTCCAAACGACCGAGCCCCTCGTCTAGGCCTTCCATTTCCGACTAGGTTCCAACTCCGACCTGGTGCATATCAACACCCAAACTTACGCCCACATCAAAATCACGCCAACACACAAGGCACCTCATGGCGTCCGTGCGAACCTTCTCATTGCCGCACTACGAGGCCTACCCTGTCCACGTGGCTCTTTTCAAGGATGTCAAAAACGCCTCCTTCCTGAGGCGTCAATTACTCGAAGCCAATCCAGACTACGACTATGCCTTCTTGGATGGATCCATGGTAGGTCATGGTTCACTACCTGTTCATTGCTTTTTCTCGTTACCAGCATCACTTTTTCATCAACGATGATGCCAGCCACCCCCCGCAATGACATGCCAGGGTCGCTGAGTCATCTGAGATGCAATCTTGAACTTTAATTGTTTTCTTGTGATAAGATCCTACGGGGTGTGTAATATTTTATCCTCGTATCAACATGGATAGATATGCTGGAGCGAAGCATTGTGGCTTCTGGTCAAGCTAGCTAGATACTCCATCTCATCTCAGCACTAATTTGAGCACCTCAACATGATATTAACACATTTGCCCCCTAGATACTCACACCCCATCACCTCCTCTCTGCCACCTTCCTCGCCCTCCACGGCCACTTGACCCACCGCGCAAAAACACGAACTCCCCATTCCGAACTAGTTTTTCGCCTCTCACCCAACAACAATATCGGAGAGTCCTATAAGAAATTTGGCATCGCCGATACCACCACCGCGCTCATTGCCGTTAAACTACCTTTGTCTCCATCATCCACTGCGTCAACAGATGAAAAGTCTACTTACGAAAAGGATGAGAGTATCACGAATGAGAGCGTAAGTTCGCATTTGGGAAGTGCGGTAGAGGGAACTAGTGTGGAGTTGGGAGAGACAGGGGAGGAGTTGGGTATGTGGTGTGATGTTGACAAGGTGAGGAAGGTGTACAAATTGGGTGGAGATGGTGGGAAGAAGGGTAAGAAAGGCGCAGTTAATGGGGATGGTGGTGACGTAGAGAGGAGGAAAGCGGAGGAAAAGAAGGACATCGAAAGCGTTGTTCTAGGTATTATTGCCCTGAAAGGGTCGTGAAAAGGGATGGGATCGTATGAGAGATGATGAGACGACAGTATACGAGCACCACAGACGTATGAGTAGAACACACGATTCAACTCAAAGAAACTTCTCTCCAGCTATGCCACAGGTCTTCGCGACCATATAGATATATCTACACTCCATAATCTATGACAAAGGCACCAAAGCTTAAACCTCCATGTATTCGGGCTTGAGGAAGTCGGCCATGTTCTTGGGCCTGGGGTATTGGTTCAAGTCGTGGTGGTGATCGTCGTGGCCGTGAGCGTCGTCTGCAGGACCAACGTACTTCATCTCGTAGACGGATCCACACTCCATGCAGCGAGACTTGGGCTCCTCGCGGGTAAGAGTGATCCAGAGCACGTTGTGAGAGTCGGCGGGAAAACCAGTGCAACCAACGTATTGCTCGTTACCAGCGGAGTTGACGGTGATGGGGTCCTCCATCGTGCCTGCGGTTTATCAGCATCACATCACACCACCGGGAGCCTAAAACCGCGCAACACGCATGTTCCTTCATCTTCCGGGGGGTAGCATCACGTACCGAGACGGCTGGCGTCCAATGGCCTCATGTCGAAGATGTCGATACCCTGCATCTTTCCGAGAATTTCGAGACGCTCAAGACCGGTGGCCTGCTCGGCATCGGTGGGGACGGTACCGGGCTGCGCACCGGGGGGCAGAAGGTCGGCCTCGGACTTGATTTCTACAGAATTGGCCTCGTCAGCAATTGATGGTTTCGGCCTGTCGTAGCCGCGGCGGTGCGGATGACGAGGTGCGGGCGCAACATACGGTCGAGCTTCTTGAAGCCGGCGAGGACGCTGGGGGAGTCGGCCGAGTGGCCGGTCTCCTTCTGCGCAATGTTGCTCTCCTTAGCCTCCTTGCTCTCGGTGGACTCCCCTGCTATGGTGTCAATGGCACATCGTACGATAGCTCCTCTCGAGACATACAGCGAGCAAAGGTGGTGGTGAAGGTGCGGCGGGTCGCAATGGCGCGGGGGGCCGCACGCCTTGCTGCGGCGATAGCAGAGCGCTGGACGAACATGACGGGAACGATTGGGTGGAGTGGAGAGGGTGGGCGTGGTTATCGAGCTGGTGATGTTCTTCAGTCGTGAATTGACGAGCCGACGGCAGAGGCTTGGCGCTGCGATTAGGTAAGGCATGCCACAGAACGCTGCATTGGCTGCCACACCTGAGAGTCGTTGATTCATCAACTGCTCCTTCCTGAACAGCTTGCACGGGAACTACAGCATATGTATGCAGCACTATTGACTGCGCTACTTTGATTTTAGACGTTCAGGAATCCTTATAAAGGTGTCTTGTGCGACTGCGTTATCTTTGCTAACCTCGAGACCTCTTACTCCCACCAACTGCTAAACAGATCCTCCTGCTGACACCTATTTACCTCTTTTCGAACAGCTAATCAACCATGGCCTTCAAACCAGCACTCGTCATTGTCGACGTGCAGGAAGACTTCTGCCCACCAGTGAGTGGCCATGTGTGGTGAGAAGGCCTCGTACTGATAAGTCCAGAACGGGGCACTGGCAGTGACAGGTGGACGCGACATCGTACCCACAATCAACGAGTTCCTTACGTATCCGTTTGTTCTCAAAGTCGCGACCAAAGACTTCCATCCCCAAGATCACATCTCGTTCGCATCGAATCACTCCGCGCCGAACAACAAACCCTTCGAATCGACGTTCGTCATCAAAAACCCAGAGAACCCAGACGAGACGCAAGAAACACGACTATGGCCCGACCATTGTGTGCAGGGGACAAAAGGCTCTGAGCTGCTGCCCGAGCTCCACGTCAGTAAAGTGGACCATGTAGTCGAGAAGGGCCAGGACAAGCGCGTGGAGATGTACTCTGCATTTGCGGATCCGTTCAAGAGTCATGTGGCTAAGAGCAATCTCGCAGACACACTGCGCAAAGCTGGAATCACCGACGTCTACGTAGTAGGCCTTGCAGCCGACTACTGCGTGAAGTTCACTGCGATTGATGCACAGAAGGAGGGCTTCAAAACGTGGGTGGTGGGCGACGCGACGAAGGCGGTGGATCCGTCAGCGATGGAACAGGTTCACAAGGAATACGAGAAGACCGGAGTCACGGTCATAGGTAAGGACGACGCGCAAATGCGGAAGGTCAAGGAGCAAGCGCAGCGGACGCAGGACCAGGACGCGAAAGACGCAGGGAAGGCTGGCGAGAGCGTGTTGGACTAGACCCAGCACTCCATAGACGAATGGCGAATTTCAGATAGCGTGTATCCTACAGGACAGCATGTGATTTGAGGGAGCATCGAGGTCATGATTTCCTAGTTCTCAGCGCCGGCGCACTCGGAATGCAGACGCGTACTAGAACCGGGTACTTTGTCCACGTCGAAGAAACAAGCGGCCCGGGCTCCACTCCATGTCAAGCCACTGTTCCTGGAATCGCAGGTAGAGAGTATTCGGAAACAAAGACTGCTCCGAGCCGTGCCGCATGCGCGTGTCGCGTACTTCGTATGGTGCACTGACATGTGCCGACTGCGGGGCAGCAGACGTGCAGAAACACAGCCTGGCGATCTCTATATTAGGGCAAGTCACATGAATGCGCAAAAGACTGTATGCCATGTCGCCTGGCCTTTGTGTCCCCTCATTGCATGCTCTTTCCACGGTCGAGCGTTGTTGATGTTTACACTTTGCCGCCAAACAAGTTCAACGCGCGGGGTCGCTAGTTTTTGTGAAGCGCCCATCGTCATTGCTGAGACTAGAGCTCACTCTCGCCGGCACCCGAAGCACCAAGACAACCTCTGCCGATACCTGGCTGCCTGGTCCTAGCCACCTCGCCTCCAAGACTTGCTCCTCCCTCTTCTCCTTCTCTCTCACTTTTGCGGCGAACAATCACGATGCCGCATCTCCCTATAGTCTCCAAGCACCGCCGGTCGTCGGTCAACAGTGCGTCATGTCCCTTGTTCCGGTCGTACCGACTCTTCCGACTCTGTTCCAGCACGAATTGAGGCTGATACATGCCCAACTTTCTAGGTAGCCGCGGATCCTCGATAGACGAGACACGACGACACGATGGCGGCGACGAAACTACCAAGGAGGACGAGACTGTCATGGACTCGGAGCAGGGGAACATGCTCTCTCACATCATATCGCAACTGCGACCTGGTGCCGACTTGAGCCGCGTGACGCTTCCCACCTTTATTCTCGAGCCGCGATCGATGCTGGAGCGCATAACAAAGTGTGTAGTACTCCTACACGTACTACGTATGATCATGTCGCAGTGCTGACCGTTGGGTAGCTTTATGGCACACCCCGAGACACTCCTCCCCATTACCAAGGTCGACGACCCAGTGCAGCGATTCGTAGCAGTGACAAAGTTTTACCTGAGTGGTTGGCACATCAAGCCCCCGTATGCATATCTATTGTGTTCCCGCGCCCATAAGCAACAACTGATGTGAGTTAGGGGAGTCAAGAAGCCGCTCAACCCCATCCTGGGTGAGATCTTCACAGGTTACTGGGACTACCCGGACGGCACCAAGGGCTACTACATCTCCGAACAAACGTCGCACCATCCGCCCAAGTCGAGCTACTTCTTCATGGCACCCGAGCACAACATCCGCATCGACGGTACCCTCAAGCCCCGAAGCAAGTTCCTGGGTAACTCAGCCGCGAGTATGATGGAGGGTATTGCAGTCCTGCGGCTGCTGAATACCGGCGAACGATTGTAAGTCGAGCCCAGATATCAAACGTCTCGATGCTCACTACAGTCAGCTTCGTTACACAACCCAACATGTACGCGCGCGGAATACTATTCGGCACGATGAAGTACGAACTTGGCGACCACGCATACATCCGGTGCCCTGAGACAGGACTAACTGCTGATCTTGAATTCAAGACCAAGGGTTATTTCAGTGGAACATACAACGCCATTGGTGGTTACATCAAAGACTCTAGCGGGAAGAACTTGTACGAACTCTCGGGCCAGTGGAACGAGGAGATGTACATCAAGGACTTGACGGTAGGTCTCGGTTGCTTCATTGTTCGCATATGTGCTGATTTTTCATAGACTGGCAAGAAAGAGCTACTTTTCGATGCAGCACATACTAAACACACCCCACCATCGGCTCGACCTCTGGAAGAACAAAACGACCGCGAATCGCAAAAGCTCTGGCATGATGTGTGCGAGGCTGTAAAACGGAGAGATCAGGATGTAGCAACCGATGCTAAGGCTAAGATCGAAGACATGCAGAGGCAGGAAGCTGCGAAACGAAACAGCGAGGGTGTGGACTGGCACCCACAGCTTTTCAGACGCGTAAAGGGTGGTCATGGCGGTCCTGAGGAAGGCGAAGAAGACCTTGACTGGATCATCAACGCCAAGATGTCAGTACTCATCGTCCTTGGGTATGTAATAAGTGCTGACAAAATTTAGTGATGGCAAGACCCCCGATGAGGTCGTCAAACAAATCCTGCAGATATATGCCATCTTGCCCGGTCAAAAGCCAGAAAAGCAGTTCAACATTCCCTCGCGGGCAAATGATGCACCACCACCGCAGCCACAAGAGGCCGCACAGCCAGCACCTACGGAAACATTGCAGCCCGTGCCATCCGAGCCCCCAAGTGTGCAGTCACAGCCAGCAGTCATGCCAGGACAACAAGATTCGAGCGTAGGTCTTCCCAGCAACTTCGACGGAACAACAACCACTCATGCTCCGCTTTCCAAAAACAGCAGCATCCCCAACGATCCTAGCAACCCCCCAACGATACCTCTCCAAAAGCCCATGCCGCAACCCACTACCATCTCACCCGAGAACCGGGAGGTCATCTCGCGTGAACTGCCGCCGAGCAAACTCCTTAATTCAAACCCAGAGCCAGAGCCACGAAAGGACGACCTTCTACGGAGGACAGATAGTGAGACGCAGCAGGAGGATGAGTTCCATGATGCACAATCGTGAGTTCTCTTTTCTCTGGAGGGCTGTTATAGATGCCTATCCTACCCATAATCCGGTGTCATGTTCTGTCTTTTGTCTTGTATACTGTGATTAATGCTCACGATCCTATTTTATAGAGTTGTTGAATCGAAAGAATCCAAGAAGCGCTGCGGCGGTGGATGCTTTTCAACCTGCATCCCGTCCTGAAGCTGTCTTTGTTGTGCTTTCCGAATCATCCCCCTGTCCATCTCATAATGTCTTGTGGGTAGCCCGTTGTGGATGGTTGTGGACGTTGCGGATCTTGCCGTGTGATGCCTAAATCATGTCTGGGATCGTAAGGCTGCAGTCACGCTTTCGGGTATAGTGAAGATAGTGGCGGCGCGCTAACCGTACTTGGCTAATATAACCCCTAACACTTCTACTCTAATTGACCGCTTCACCCTTCGATTCGAAGTATCCAGGATCTCACTTTTTTTCTAGAGCCTTACCTGTCTATTATGGGCTCCTTCGACTGTTACTGTATCTTGTGCGCGGGCACGTTAGATATCGAGGCTGTCAGAATTGGTTCGATGAAGGAAAAGAATCTACGCAAGAGGGATCGCAATGTTGGTATAGCAACGGGGAGGCTAGCTGACACGAGTGCTGAAGAGAACTCTTGCTCGTCGGGAGCCGAGAGTGAAGATGATGACAGCGGAGCGGAAGATGCGCCTGACGACGAAGTCATCAAGAAGCGGCTCAATGAACTGCAAGAACAAGCCGAAGATGATACAGGCTCTGACTTTGAGGATGAGCACGGAACCTCGAATTCTGAATATTCTGAAGATACAGAGTCTGTCGACACCAACGACTTCGACCTGCTTGCGGGAGTAACTGAGATTACAGATGTGGCTATGCGACCCCGCACTCCCGAGCCCGAGCCTACGGAAGAAAGAGACAGTGATAGTTGGTCACAAACTTCTGACTTATCGTTTGAGCTCGATGAGGTCCTTCTAAAGAGTGTTGACGACTGGGAAGAGGAGGACAGCTTCGACCCTAGATTGATCTTGCGAGAAGACTTGCTTTGGATCAATCGGAGCCGCGCACTGGCTCTCAATCGTGAATCTGACCGTGACAATCCCAAAGCCTATGTTTCTGGCAGAGGTCGTTACGGAGGACTCGGCGGGTTTGATGTCAAGAAATCTGGACGAGATCCGAACGATCCTGGTGAATTTTCGTTGAACCTCACGGCGTACTCCGATGGGGAGGAGAACATGGCTTTTCCTTTCCACGAGGCTTGCTTCAACATTCTTGCCAACAGCGTGGGACTTAAAAAGGGACACGAAGTCAACAAAGATGTGATGTGGGAGGTTATGAGAGCCCACCTGGTCGATGAAAGACCGGTCCTGGACGTGAACTATGGGTATAGCATGGCACATGAACAATTCTGGGTAAACGTCCCAGGCGAGGAGTACGTGGTATGTGATCCCGGTCCTCGACCGTCTCTCATAGAAAAGATTCCAGAGTTGTTATCCGGCTCTATTCTGGGTAGAGCTACGGAGGTCTTGGACTTATCGAACAAAGTCCGTAGCGACCCGACCCAAATTCTCCCATACGACATTCTCCTTGAAATTATTGGGTACATGGACACAAAGGACATGCTATCATTCATGAAAGCTTCTTACCACGTCAACAGCTACACGCGTGAAGCTGCCTTCTGGCAACACATGATACACGTTCGTATCTTGCCATGGTTCAACGAACTCGGTCATTTCGTCGAGAATACCAGCACCGATGCAACCGACTACAAAAGCCTCTTTCTTTGGTCTGATGCACTGACCCATCCCGACATCGGGAATCAGGGACCGCTTATGCACATAGCGAACCGACGCAGAATCTGGGAGTGTTGTCAACCACTAGCCTCGCTTTATAAGAGATTAGTAGCCTCGGTCGAGCCCGCTGAACCAGAAGATTCAGAGGAAGCGAAGGCGATTTTGAAGGCCTCCGTGTGCTTGTCCACACCTATGACAATGTACCCGTCACCCAATGACTCGGAGACCACTTCTGCACAGTTCATTCACGCATGGTATGAGATTGGTCATCGGTCCTGCGTCCTCGACACGTATTGGCGACACGATCCTTCGCAAAATATGTTCTTAGTTGGCATCTCCATCACGTTGGGTGGACAAAGGCGACTGTTTGGCAGTGCCGAGGGGAGCTTAGGACGTCCATTACATATCGAGCGAGGGGAATGGATCAACCAAATCATATGCGACATCGACGAGATTGATATATTCAGCCGCAACAACCGCAATTACGATTGGAGCACTTATGGTAGACCTGAGGAAGTAAAGTCACTCACAACTTGTCTCATCAGAGGTTTGCAGGTACGTCTTGCATTATACTTACCCACGAGCAGCGGTACTGATAAAAGATAGATAAAAATGACTACTGGAAGAGAAAAGTCTGTAATGAATCACCGCCTTGCCACCTCTCAAAGGCCGTTTTTGGTGTTGGACAACATGTATCTAGTGGGTTTAACAGGTCAGACTGCTTCGGTAAGTCACTAGATATCATAACGGTGTTTTCTCTCATTCGCAAGCCGCTGCTGACACCATTACCAGAACGGTGCCATCTCACGCCTCGGTCTTCTCCAAGCTTCCAGATTGGACTCAGCATTAACCGCCCGGCTACAATACGACACTACTCAGCAGCTATTCTGGAAGAACCTAACGCGCCTTCCTTACCAGCAGAGACGTTATCCGATATGGTCACATCCTTCTTACCATCACGCTCTCTTCCCTATATCAACTCGCATTTCACCATTCGACCCACCCGAGGAGATGACATCGCATGATATCTTCCTATGGAACAAAATCTGCATTGAAGTCTTCCAGCCTGGTGGAGCGACCATCTATAACTTGCCCAATCAGACAGTAGATGGAGAATCAGCGAAAGAATCGGTGCCATCGACTAGTGCAACAACGACCACTTGCCCTATCACTAGCCCCTTCCCCGGGACAGAAGCTTCATGCACCAACACGACATTCTCATCCTATCAATTCCAGTCCAGCCACGAACTTGCTGCCATTAACTCTGGCCGCACGAAGATCTACAGCAATTACAACTCCTTCGTCGGCTGTCAAACTGCCGTCCCAGCCCAACACCCTCGCTGGACACTTGACATGAATCCCCTCGAGGAAACATTTAGAGAGCTATGGTCAGAGCTCTTAAGCCAGAATTCACAACAATATGACCCAAAGACCGGCGCATCTAACCCATCTTATAACAAAGACAATATTGTTTTTCCCTTGAATAACGAATCCATCACCGAAGTCCATATCGAGCATCAGTATCGTGCTCTTAAGCTCGTTACGCAATCTGGCCGTGTTGGCTATTTTGGACTGCCAGGGTGCAAAGATTGGTGGGTTAGGAAGGCAGTGGAGGGAGAGCGATTTGTGGGGATTAGTACTTGTTTTGGTAGTTTAGGTGGGTGGAGTCAGATGGCGATGAGGTGGAGTCATTGGAAGTTGAGTAGTGTCGGGGTTGTCTTTGAGAGGGTGGATGAGGATGGAGAGGTCGTCAGTAAGGAGAAGCAGAAGATACTGGAGAATAACGGAGAGGGGAAGGTTTTTGAGGAAGGGAAGATCGAAGTTGTTACGACTGAGGAAGAAGATGTTGCGTAGAACGGTGGGAGAGAGTTACTGCGTTCTAAGAAGTCGGGTCGTTGATTGGCGTGTGTTTTAGTCGGGTACGTCGCTTCATTTCTCACATGAAAATGTATCTTGCTTCACAAAGATTTAGCCTAATCATACGGATATGTATTCCAATTGTGTCACGTTCAAAAAATGGCTGTGGCATGGCCCGGCATGCATCAATGGTGATCGGAGTGAACTCGCGCGCGTAACCAGTTAATCAATCGACTCGAAGTCCAATTCGACAGCACTGTAGCCAACTATTTGCGAATCGCAAATCGAGCGCGAGAACACAAGAGGACCAAATGATTACGCCCGACCTTGAGATGTAGCACGGTATGGATAATCCCAGCAAACATGTTCGGATGCACAGGAATTCCGGCATCTTATCACAACATGTTCCGGACCGCTGCGGAAACACCACCACGTCTGCGTGGGACAACGTGCAATCTGACACCGACTTACCTGTGAGTATGAGAACCAATCGAAAACGCCGCGGACCTGAAGATCGACCAAAGCGTTGCTGTAGCGCCCACGATGATGCGTCGCTTCCGCCGCGGGATTCGTTATTGACAGCTCGGTGACATCATTCCTCATGATTTTGCCTGGGCAGCACAGCAACACAGCCTACTTGCTACAAGGTCCAGCTATCTTACCACGCCACGAATTCCGGTAGTTTCTTTAGTGAAAGTCTTGGATAAATACCGCAAAGTATATACTCCACCACGGGAGCCGATTATGAACTCGTCGTGGCTGCGGCTCGACGACGACAACGAGATGCACGACCCCATCGAGGAGCTGCGCAATCCGCGACAGGTCAAGAATGATTTTCTGAAGTATTTGAAAGAGGAGGTTTTCAAATTGAACTTTTATCGCGCGCATATGCTGTACTTCATCATCGTCATCGCAATTTCGTCGGTCATCGTCTATGGGCAGGGTCTTGCTAATGGACCGAAAGAGGTTGGAGGAGCGCACTTGACGTACACTGATGCGCTGTTCCTGTCCTGCAGTGCTATGACCACTACAGGTAAGTGTTTCCGTCAAACAATAACGAAAGCCATAGGCTGATTGGTGTAGGGCTCAATTCGGTTGACCTCGGAGATCTCTCCGGCTTTCAGCAGGCTTGGTTCGCTGTTCTGCTAATGATTGGCAATATCCCTTTCGTCTCGACGGCTGTAGTGCTAATTAGAAGAGCGCTATTCCGCAAGAAAATGGCAGACGTCGTCAAGCATTCGCATACAATGCAACGACTAGTGCGAGACATTGAGAACAGTAATTCGGGTCGAAACGAGAGCAGCAGTAGTGCTGAGAGCGTGCGCCAGCGAGCGAACGGAAAACAAAACAAAGCAGGAAAGAGTACGCAACGACGAAATGATGAGTCGCCGCACGTGAAGATAAAGCCTGTGTCTAGAAGAAGGACATTTCATTACGAGACCGGATTTGGCTTTATACCAACGCCATGGGAGATCAAGTCAGCTCGCAACTTTTTCAGTCGCATACTGGATCGCTTTTCTACAGAGTTGAAGCCTGAGAAACATGACTACGTCTCTTTCAAGCCTCATCTCGACTCCAAAGGCCGCTTTCGAGAGCTTAGCGAGCAAGATCGTATGGAGCTCGGAGGTGTAGAGTATCGCGCACTTCAAACTCTCTTGCTCATCCTGGTCGGTTACCAGGTCTTCTGGTACCTACTGGGTATCACTTTCTTACTACCATACGCATATCGAGGCGACACCAAGAACACACTATACGAAAACCAACCAGGCGCGATCAACCCGGGATGGTGGGCGTTCTTTGCGACAGTGACTGAGTTTGCCAACGGTGGACTCAACGTGCTCAATGCCAACTTCATCCCTTTCAGCGGCAATTGGTTTGTCCTACTTACCGCGGCATGTTTGGCATTCGCTGGTCAGACACAATTCCCGATTCTACTCCGCATTACTATATGGATCATGAAGAAGTTGTTACCAAAAGATTCTCGTATGAGGAACACGATGCAATTTCTCCTGCAACATCCACGACGTTGCTTTATATACCTTTTCCCGAAACGCGAAACAGTATACCTTTTTGCTGTCCAACTCGGCATTGACATCACAGCCTGGCTTTGTTTTGAAATTCTGAACATCGGCATGCCAGACGTTGAAGCTCTCTCCACTGGCACTCGGGTAGTGGATGGTCTCTTCATGGCTAGCGGACTACGTACCAGTGGCGCATACATCATCAACATGAGTTCCCTCGCACCAGCGTGCTTGGTGGCATATCTAGTCATCATGTACGTCTCCATCTACCCGATGACGCTGGTGCTGCGCAAAACGAACACGTACGAAGAGAAGTCGATTGGACTAGAGGAGCACGATAGTAGTGCTGCCGGAATCGCATCACATCTACAAAAACAACTTTCCTACGACATCTGGTTTCAGTTTTTCGTCTTCTTCTTGATATGTATCATTGAGCGAGGACATATCAACAAGGCAGATCCGGGCTTCAGCATCTTCTCGATTCTATTCGAAGTCACATCGGCATATGGTACCGTCGGTTTGAGCCTCGGTGTACCGGGCAAGAACTACAGTCTAAGTGGTGACTTTGCGAGCTTGAGCAAAGTCGTGTTGATGGCTGCGATGCTGCGTGGTAGGCATCGTGGCCTGCCTCTGGCAATCGATCGAAGTATTCTTCTACCTGGCGAAGAGCTTATGCATCGTATGGACCAAGAGTACAGCGCGACGGGTACAGAAAACCCACAAGAAGAAGCAGAGCTAAGGAATGATATCGAGGGAAGTGGTAAGCATCAACAGAAGGCCGGAAAGGGTGACCAGGACCCAGAGGACAGGAGAAGGTCGCAACCAAACAACGAGACTGGTCAGGAAGAGAGGCAAGAGACGGTGTCACAATCCAACCCCTGATGAGAAGGGCCGCAATCGCTGCACAACTCACATGTTTTTTTCGGGAGTACTATCGGCCAAACATGACCCCAGATAGTCAGAGCGATTACGTCGCATTGAAGAGTCACGAGCGCCGATTGACCCAACGACTACTACACGGTCCGACAACCATCCTCCGGATCCGGAGAAGGACGTTATGTACGTATCAGGCGACTATACCGATCCCCATCGCCCCATGCATACATCTTAAGCTTCGGTCACACTTCCAGAACCCCTCACTCATGCATGTACGCACACGCATCACGGATATCACCGAAGTCACTACTTCCTTCTACGTCATCTTCCCCTCAGACTTGCATACAGCAAAATTCTATCAGCCCTACAAGGCTTCCATTCCATCGCGCGCATCCATCGCTCACACGCCACACTTATGCGCCTCGAAACTAAGGCGCTCACAGATCCCTACTAGGTCTCAATCCTAGTTCGCATGAATATCGCCAAACGCACCCTGAAGTGTCCACAGAGGCGGGCCCAACCACACTCACCGGGGCGTGGATCTGCATAAGAACTCGGCATATGCGTGAACCAGGGACATGGAAATTGACTCAGCTTGGGCCCTGAGCTAGTTGGTGGGGAAAGGTGATGGGACGAAAGGATCTTTGGTCGATGAGATGGCGTGTTTTGCAGGGATCCGAGGGAAAGGATCATGGGAGGATTCTCAGGCAATAAGGCATGAATTTCCTAAGATTTGGGAAATTACACAAAACGCACTGGTAAGATGCTAGGCGGACGGACGGGCTGTGGCGCTTTTTGATAGGATCGGTGGGAGCGAGTCAAATGACGTTCGCGGGACGGCGGGAGATGTGCAAAGCTGACATGGGGTCTGTGTTCAAGAACAGGAACACGGCATGCCGAACCTTTGCGCAAATCATGTCTCTTGTTACTAAGATGAATTACATAGTATTTGGAATTCTTAACAGGTTTGCCATGATTGACGGTACTTTGGCGACATGCAGAGTGCGAAGGACGACGCGTATGTTGGCATCCACTTTGCCTCATCACGTGTAACCACACTACCACAACGCATTGACATTTGGCCGCACATGCATGAACTCGAACCACATATCTCGATTATCATCGCCGTCAAACAAAAGTTGGCAGCTTCACGATACAATCTGCCATGTCAGCTGACAATATTACCCGTAGTACCGTTACCAAACCGTTGCGAAAAGCATCTAGTGCGGTGGGAAACGTTTCAACTACCAAACACGCACCCCACCTGGTCAGGTCGCCGCAACGAACAAGCGAACGATCTCAACGGCCGACTAGTTGGAAAGGAAAATCTAGATGCAAGATTCGCTTCGCACAGCGAAACGGAATGTTCCGTTGCTGTTTCACCGGACGGCAGCTGGTGTATGTGCCTTAAGGTTGCGGTACGGTTTGCTGTCATAGGCGGCCTGGGTCACAAGGCTGCCGCTGTCAAGATCGGTTGATGAACGGTTAAGTTACCTAAGTATGTGAAATTCATGATGGTGGCCGTATCGTGCTTGGAAGTGGTTTATGCTGTTTTTATGCAAGTGGTCCAGATGGTTGAAAAGTATCTTTTGATAGCCCTAGTACAGATGCAGTCTTTGAAGTCAAACTCCTCAACGTAGTAACTATACCCTACTATGGTGAATAACGAGTATGCAAATGTATGGAAGGTGAGGTGGACTGTCGTGTTTGACACCCCTCGCTTAACAGGCCGGATTAAGAAGGTAAGTACCGCAAGCGAGATATCAGGACTAAACATGCGCAAGGGTAATGCTCGCTGAAAGTACACATCACAATGAGTTGTCTAGAGCTATGTGGAGATTGAAAATGTGGATATTTTTTGTTCCATTCACTACCGCTAACAAGTACCGCGAAAGATGAATGTCGAACTATCGTGAGAAAGTGAAGCGCGTAGATGCAAGTTACCCAAGTACGCCAAGCCCAGAATGACAAATGTAAACAACTCCTGCGTGGATAATCCGAAACGTGGAATGTCTCATAACCATGCATACCATACCAGTTCCCACATATACCACCGAACCGTTAAGAAGATGGTAGGAAAAAAAGAGTTGATTGAATAGCGAATTAACGAAAGTAGAGAAGTGGAGAAAGTCATTGCCTGTGCCATACCGATCCCAAAGCCCATGGAAAGATTTCAACAAGTACAGGAATTTGACGAAATAATATCTATTTCCTATCATCATTGAGGAGGCTAGCAATTGGCATGTTGTCCCTCGGCGCCGAGCTCCAAGTACCAGCCCTCGCGCGGCCTGAGGAAGGGACAGGCATTGGCAGCACATACGGCATACGCTCTGGAGCCGAAACAGCGCTAATATCCATTGGGTTCATGGGGCTGTAGTGCTTCGCTGGCTCGCTCTGTGCCGGCGAGATGTAAGTCGGGAAGGGGTTGGGCTTGAACATGGGGTTGTGCATGATGCTACCATCGGGCGAGGCATCGGGAGTAGGAGGGCGAACGGCGTTGGAGCCGTTGCGCCAGATCTCCTCGAGCTGAGCGGGGGAAACATCCGCACCGTAGTCGGCGGCGACCGTAGCCCAGAACTGCTGACGGCGGGCTTCGTAGATGGAGCGGAGGCGGTCAGTGTCGACGATCTTAGGCTGATGGGCTACCTCGGTGTTGATGCGGAGACCGTTGAATGGCTCTGGAGAACCACGGGGAGTGAGGGTGCGAGGCTTGGGAAGAAGGATCTTGTGCTGAGATCGGCCTGGGGAGGTGGTGATGGAGTTGGCGCGAACATGAGGACTGCCAGAGTAGCTCATAGGCGAGCTGTGGCGAGAAGATTGAGAGTAGGCGTCCTGTTCCGCAGCCATAGAGTACATAGGAACAGTACCAGACGAGCTGCATGAAGCGTTGGAGGAGACGGAGTTGGTACGCTTGCGGCGATGGCTACCGTGCGAGAGCTGGTGGTAGTGCAGGCGGCATGCAAGCTCGGTCTTCTTGAGATGTGCTGCAATGTGCTTGTAGGGCATCTTTTGCATGCGAGTCTGGAGAAGGTAGGTTTCCTAGCCAATGTTAGCAAGTGTTCGGTAGGTGCGACATAGTTGGCATACCTCTTCTTCAGACCAAGACCTGTTACCGCCGGCTGACATCTTGCGAGCACGAAGGCTGGAAGGGTCAGGGGATTGCGAGTTCATCTCTGGGAGGGGAGAGAGAATCTGGGGCTGATGGTGCATCATGGTGACAATAGTGTGTTGATGGGGTGATAGTATGTTGCTGTTCTTGTTGATGATAGTCGTACTTGGTAGTGGGAATCGTTGAGTCGTGTCCACTAGGGATGTCTGTTCGTCGTAATCGAGTCTGGCTCTGAAAAGAAAGTATTACACAGTGTGTCGGTAAAAAAGGTAATTGCTCAGCAATGTTGATTAAGTGAATGTAGTGCAGCCCAAACCAGTGGGAAGAAAACGAGAGTATTACAAGGCTGCTAAAAAACAAAAGACAGATGCCGATTGAACAGATGCGGTTGAGGCCTCGAAACTTGGGGCAGCGGAGTAATTATAGAGTTTGGACAGTGGTCAAGAAACGGGTCGGTCAGTGTCCACAGACCAGGTCGATTAGCAGTGGCAGTTTCTGAGATTGGCAACGTTTTCAAACCGTCGCCTCTGCAACTCGATTCCTGATCGGCGCCATGGGGCATAGACGGCGTTCGCAGCCAAAATGTTTAGAAGAACCTTGACACGAGACATGTTAAGCCGGAAGTGGAACGGACATGAAGTTGCATACGAAATCGTTGCCTGGGGCTCTGAAGATCTAGAGCGGGACGCATAAGGTTCTCAGCCTCATCGGGGCTACGGGGGCAGTTTCAAAACCGCGCGCGTCGGACTTGGAGCAGGTTTGAAGGAGCGCGAGGTTTGACAATGTTTGGAAAGCTGGAAACAAGCAGCGACCAGTGCCGAAGCGACGGCGGGCGCTAACTCAGTCGGTGCTGTGACAGGCTGCGGGGAGGACTGTGCACCGGCGGTCTACCATTTGCAGTGACAAACAACATTGGCGACGGGCTTTTGAGCAATACCAACGACGATATCTCTTACATTTGCCAGAGAATAGGCTCATTGTAAAAGGGCCGAGTACACGACGAGTGGAGATTATTCGCAACACACAAGTACGCAGATGACGACGCTGTGAGACGGACGAAACGATTACGTTCGGATGGGTCGTGTTCCGCCTACAGCATCAACAGGTCAGGCTCTTCATAAGGCCGAAGCGCTTGGCAGGCCACAAGTGCTGCTATAGGTTGTTAGTGGTAAGGCTGTGGCAGAGCGGTTCCCTCAAACGCTTGTGGCTTGTAGTGATACTGGCGCTGCGTCAGGCAACTGGAGAAGGAGCTTGGCTTGAATGCGGAGCGGAGCCTGGTAGAAAAGGCACCTAGACCCATGACGAAAAGATGGCCTTGGTCGAGCATCAGGACGTCGATTACCTTTGTCTTCCCCGCGCCCAGCAGTGGTGATGAGCGTAATGGCTGCTTGTTTGGCACGACTGTTGCAAGCCGCTGCTGCAGTGGCAGTGTGGAGAAGACAGGGATGGCTCGCACTCGGCGACGATTGAAGTCGGGCTAAATTGCAGCACGATTTCTGCAGTGGTGAAGGCGCTATGAGCGGTGAAGGGGATGTTGGTGAGATGGATTGGAAAATGGAGGAGACGTGTGATGTGGTCGTGTTTGTGCGACTCTCGCCATGACGATTGTGACTTCGCGCGCTGTGTTGTTGACCGATGAAGTTGGAAGGCACGAGCGACTACTCGAGGAAAGAGCGCCCGGTCAATGCACACTGCCCCGCTCCATCCGTCAGCAACTCCGTCATTCATCACGACTACGGCACTCTACATGCGTTGGTAGCGACTCCACGGTGACATGATGTCGGGTCACTCGACTGACTCTGCATGGGAATCGTCATGACACTCATGACAGCATGCACTTGTCTCTTCGACAGTTCCGCCGACACTGCTGGCCCTTATGAATACACGGTCATCATGTCGCGACACCCGATCGGGGGCGCTCCGCATCACTCGCATGAAGCTGAAGACGCATAGAGTTGTCACGCGCTGCGCAATCTACCTCCGCTGCCCTCTAAGCACTCGTCTTGCTGTCCCCGTAACCTCAAAGCCACCTGTTCATCAGAGCCGGGCCCTAGAGCCTGTTACCCCGCTTCTTGTCTGCAGCTGTCCCCGCGTATCTATACCTCGACCACCACCCTCAATTCACTAGCTCAAAAGTACTAGTACTTGACATTACTTGAGATCCCCAGCTTTGGCGCCCACCCCCGCTAGCACCCGGCCACTTAACCTCACAGCGTCGCCCTCGTCCTCCACCATCATGCTGAAGCCATCCTCCCATTCGCTCGTCAAATGCCAACCTGACCCTCTTTGTATCCCTTGTACTTGATCAGCGCTCGCACCGACAGGCCATTTGCTTCCTTGGATATCATGATGATCGACTGCCTTCAGTCTGGCCGTCGTACCCTCTGAAAGTGTCCTGAAGCTGTAATATACGAGCATGACACTACACTCTATAGGCGCATCCTGTTCTCCCCAGTGAAGCTGTCTCGTGCTGCCGTCTGCCTGGCCACGTCTTATCGCCCCGTCTGCAGCCATGTCGTGAGTCTTTTCACTATATCCGTCTCATCTTGCCCCCGTCCTGCGACTCTGGGATACTTCTCCTACTCGGTACCTTGCCGTACGTGCTGACCTTATGTCCCCTGATAGCTCTTCACCATCCACCAAGCGTAGCCTGAAACCGTCGCCCATCGCAGCGAATCCGCAACCAACCGTTCCATACTCTGCGCCTCCAGAGTTGCCTAGTTTACAACCAGCGGCGTCATTCACTACGGCGAATCAAGAAGCTCACCCTGGCGCTCAGCCACCACTTCCATCTCCCACGAGTCGGAAGCGCAAGTCTGTAACGCTCGGACAGTCGCAAGACCAGATGGCCAGTACATCAGATAGCGCAGAGGCGCAAGCAAGTAGTGCAGCGTTGCCTCCAGCAGCTGATGTCGATGCCACGCAGGAGCCGAAGACTAAGAAGAGTCGGACAAATACGCCGTGGACGCCAGCTGAGGAATTGAGGTTGAAACAAATGAGAGATGCTGGGAATAGCTGGAGCGAAATTGCAAAGGTGAGGAAGCCTTCCCGGATATCTGAAATGCCGTGATCCTGCAGAAGAGTTAGCTGACTTAGCCGATGATAGACGTTCCCACAGCGGACAGAAGGGAGCGTGAAGAAACATTGGTACAAGGTAGGCATGGTATGAGCGTCGTTCCACTGCACACACTCTGACGTACCTATCAGGACATGCACTACGCCGAGTTTGCTGAAGATGAAGTGAGTTAGAAGCTGCTGTGATGTTTAATAGAGAGTATGCTGATGAGTAAGAAGAGCGCTGCGCTGCTTGCCGCCATCAAGGAGTATGACGCCAACAAATGGAAGGTCATAGGACAGAAGGTCGGCAAACCTGCCAAAGTATGTCTCGACTGTTGTTACTTGTTTTCTCTTGTGTACAAGCGCTCGTACTGATGTACACCAGGCATGCGAACAGTACGCGAAAGAGAATTTTGGCGGCAAGTACTGAACGACACTTATGATCACAGTCTGCATCTTTCCGGGATTAGTGCGGTGGGGCCCGCTTTATGATACCAGCTTTCCTATCTTGATCGAGCATCGCACGCGCAAAACTGCTGTGGGCATCCGTTCGTCCTTCTTGGTGTTTCCGGACGTGGTTCTCGGCAGCGGAGGCACAAGGAATTAGTCGCCTCCTCTTTTCCCAAAAGATGCTTAGGAGTTTCGGCAAAGCTGGCTACTGTTATTGACTTTTCTCTGGCTTCAGAATCGGGTAATGGTCTTGCTAAGGGTGGTTCCATCCTGGACATAATATCGAATATCTTTACGTAGCAATAATCGGCAAACTACCCATGACCTAACCGTCTGTCAAACGTGGGGGAAGCATCCCAAAGCATGGTTTGTTCAAGGGCCATTGGCCGATCTTGCTTGTGTTATCGTTTCACGTCAACGAACGGTTGGTTTCGGTAGCCTGCAGCGGTTCGATCAAATGTTTCATCGCGTTCGCCACACCTCAACGTTCTGCATCTCCGTGTTGCCGCATGCCGATCTGTAGATGCGGCCAGCAGCTGTGCTATTTGTAGCACACATAGGCGGCCTGGTGTCGGTGTAGCAACTGCGCAGAGGATGATCACCAGTTTTCTTCTGCGATCAGCGGTGTTGTAGGCGATCCTAGCTACGATGGCCACGTGTAACGGCGCAGGTTACCAGACGAACGCTCCGGCTATGCTACCGAACCATCGCAACGGGCGCGATATTCGTCCAAGACGCGCTTGGGCGTAGCCGTCAGGTCGAGAGTAGATTGCGCGACGGGGATGCTTGGTCGCCCACAGGGTTCGACGCGACGCGCTTCTACTCACCATATACGTGCGCTGCACGCGCTCCGCTCACAACGCCAGCCACATGACATGGCAGCATGGTCGCGAATTGCGCCGTCTGTTGGAGGGAGCGTGGTGAGGGCTGCATCGTGCATCTCCGTCGAGCCTATAGTTCGCAATGGCTTGCAACAGCCTAAATGGGTAATGCGCCGTTGGTCGAGTACTTGAAGGTTGGCAGACCATCGCTAGACCTGAATGTCACACATGGAGACGGCGGTGAGGTCATAGCGATGGCTGCAGAAGCAGGGGAAACCCAGCCGCCAGCCGGGGAGTGCGTCTGTCGTGTCGTTCGTCACGTGAGGCTGTTGGTGGTGGCCTCGGTACCCAGGCTCTGGAAGGATGAGGTAGCAACTTCGGAGTAAGCGCAGCCGTGGATGGCGTGCCTGAGGGCGACAGTATGGGTGGCGCACTGGACTCACGATGCCATGTCGGCCATGCAGTCGAGAGATGAGATGTATGCGAGGCTCGAAGGCGGGCAGATCCCGGCCGCTTGAGTGGAATCGTTCCCGAATCTTAGCGTCGCACGTCGAGTTCGAGTCGCTTGCGCGCTCCTTTCCCCACCACCACCGCCTCAATCGCCATGCTCAGCACATTGCGCCTGTCTCAGGTATAATCCATCAATATTCTCCGCAGTGCCCATCTCTGCTCGCCACCAGCACTCCGTACGCCCGCTACTTCTGCAGTACGCCGGAGTGCGCCATCCAATGCGGGCGTCGGGACATTTCTGTGGCTGGTAGATCCCAACTCATGGGGGATGACGAAGCGCATATAGGGCAGGGCCTGACTCTATACCTTGAAACGGCCCACGCATGAGCCAATCTGAGGCCGGTAATGCCTATGCGTTAGAGAACCATGACCGAGAGCCCTGCCATCGCTCGGTCCCACTGCTTACAGGCGGGTGCTACGGCTGCGTAAATGCCGGCAGAGGCAACTGTCCTGCCCTGATCCGAGTACCGCTTCTTTGCAAGCACCATCATGCTCCATGGGGCCCTGAGCCGGGTAAGGTTCTTCCAGGCATAAAGTGCCGTCGACTGAGGCACAAGGTGCGGTAGGCCATTAAGTTGCCATGAAAAATGCCATCATCGTCACGGCACGCTTCTGACAGGCCGTTTGACCCATTCGCCTCCGAGCATGACCCGAGTAGCTCTCCCGCCAGCGCGGTCCTGGCTCCGCGTCTGATAGACTGTGTCTCAATCAATCTGGCATACGGCGTTCACTCGTAGCGCTCCTTCTTTGGGGAATTGCCTCGAGCCCCTGCCGTGTCGCTAGCCGATTCAGAACCTCCTCAATGCACATCTCCTGGCCACCACGCTGCGCCAGGATCCCTCCTGCAGCGCCTGCAACGGCGTTGGAGATCTTTCTGGCGGCATTCTAGAAATAAACGACGATGGCATGGACCGCGCACGCCCCGAGCCCCACAGGCCCCTCGCAAGCCGGGCGAAGTACCTCATGCCCATCTCATTTTGCATCAGCAGCCACTCACGATCTAGGGCTTGCAGCATTGTACTCGTCCAGATCGTGTGCCGGGGGACCCCTCCTTGTCATTGATCACCGCATTATGCTTGACGTAGAATCAGTCCCTGGGCCTTCCCTACTAACTCATTTGGTGCTCCTCAGGAACAGAGCGTCTCGTGGGGACGACCCATTGCTGTACATGCTTGGATCCTGTGTCCGTGTGGCAATCGCACAAGACGGACCGGGCTTTTGAAGGGACGTACTGCCCGAAATTTTTAATGCCTTCTCCCATCAGGCAGGAATCTTATATTCCACGACCACCCCAAGCCATAGGTACTTTTCGTTTGTTCCCTACAAGGCTACTACCTATAGTCCGCAACCCAGACGCTTAACACACGCGATAAGACTCGACCGATGGCGCGTTCCCCTAAGCTCTTCTTGCTCCAACATTTGTCAATATAACAAAAATTCGAAATACCCAAACACGTGCGATACAGCCATCGCAACTCCGAACATCAACTCAAACTAAGGCACCCTTTTTCTGGCTCAGGTCTCACTGCGGCGGCCTGCCAGAGCAACCTAGCTCTGGTAGTCTCCATGCGTGATCGCAACACTGGCGAGTCCCTATCGAGGCCCTTTCCTCGACTACAGCGTACCAGGCGATGCCGGGGAAGAACATCACATACCGACCTCAAACGTCGAACATCAAAATGTCCTCCATTCCCATACCGGACTGCCTCCGGGTTACCACCCTCACTCCTTCCTGCAGCCACACCAGTCTCAAACACTCCAACATGCCGGCGCCGGCCACCATCCTACCTACACAGACATCGAGACACATTCACTACATCAACCCCATCTGTTGCGCCATCACTCCATGTCGCAACACTCTCCATCTTCCTACAACGTGGGCTACCCACCGCCGCCCCAGCAAACCGCCGGACGCAAGCGCAGCCACCAAGACGACTTGCAACACGATCTCCCTCCGAGCTTAGAGCAGCAACTCAATCCTTACGCCCAAGCAACGGGAAGCGTCTCACTACAACACGCGACGCAGGGTTACTCCCTTCAACAATACCCGCCGCCGCCAACCCCACAATCCTCTTTACCTCCCACACATCACCATCATCTACCAAATACACATCGCAATAAGAGACATCACCCAATGGAGGGCGCACCTCCCTCTCCCGCTCAACATCATGGTCCTCCCAGCGTAGTAGGACAAGAGGGAATGCCTCCACCAGCACAACGACCCCGCGGCCCTAAGCTCAAGTTCACGCCCGAAGACGACCAGTTACTTGTCGATCTCAAAGAGAAGAAAAACCTCACCTGGAAGCAAATCGCCGACTTCTTCCCTGGCCGCAGCTCTGGCACACTCCAAGTTCGGTACTGCACGAAGCTCAAAGCAAAGACCACTGTCTGGACGGATGATATGGTAAGTCCCTACCCTAGTCATGAAACGCACGACGTCGTGTATCGCATCCACAATCTCCGACATGCTAACCATAACCGGTAATACAGGTGGTAAAGCTTCGCAACGCCATGCAGGAGTACGAGAACGACCGTTGGCGCATCATCTCCTCGAAGGTCGGCAGCGGCTTTTCGCCTACCGCGTGCAAAGACAAGGCCGAGCAACTAGAGGCAGTAGAGATGGCTGCACAGGAAGAGGAGGAGGAAGAATCACACCGACAACATCAACACCAGGGCACCTATTCCTCGTCGCAAATGGCCGCTGGCCCAAGCGATCCAGGCGCAAATTACCAATGACTGACCGACCTTAATTGCGATGGATTGGCTGGCCAATTCGAGAGTCTACGTGCATGGTGAAGAAAGAAAAAACCTAAACAGATAGCATGAGCGCATGCGGAGACAAGTTGTATTGCGGAGTTCGTGCTGGTCACAAACTTCCCTCCTTGGGGTCGATCTCGGCATTTGCAATACTTCTTTGGGGGTACACACACACAAGCATTCTAATCCCTTTACATATTTCCTTTACGACGTACCACGATTTTGGCCACGGTATACCCTTCCTCTTCAAATATACACTCCTTTAACCAATTACCTGCATACTTTGGACACGACGAACAACTGTTCCTTCGACGCGCAACACATTACCAGCGGGTCCAGCATTGCGGCGGCGTTGGGAAAGATACTGGGTTCAGGCTGGGATAACATCATTTGTGGGGTGTTGAGAATTTGAGTTGACGGGAGACGGCATTGAGAAACAGTCGGCCAGCGTTTCCAGACAGAAAGATATCGGCGAGGAAGACAGTTGGTGTCTCGAGTGGCGTGTCAACTAGTGGAGCAAAAGAGAAGGAAAAGATACCCAGGCAGAGTCGGAAGGGGCGCATTTTCATTGGTCTTTTTATCCCCATCACTACACATTTCCTTTGTACACTGGCGGTATCGTCATCTACTTCTACTTGTTACCACGCATTGCATCTTTTTTCTCCATACATAATCATCGCTTGCTTCCCGACACTACTTTGCAGACATCTCCTTGATCCTCTAAACCTTCTTGGTGTACTACAAGCTCTGAGACAAGGGCGCGTATCTATTCTGCCCGCTATTCTAGATGTACACATTTGTAATCTGTCGTCATCTGTATCTCATACGTCCCGTCGTAATGCATGTATGCCACATGGCACAATTACCGAACCTAATGTCAAATACTATACCTGCGTGTCGTCGCAATATGCGATCGCGCTTCTCGAAATTATGTAAATCATAACCCGCACTTAATATCATAATTTGGAATGCTATTATGCGCATCGTGTTCATGAACGTATGTCAATGCGGAGTATGTGGCCTTTATGGGGTGTTGTCTCATCAACACTGGTTTCAGATCTCGAACTCTGATCTGAGACGCGCATGGCCGCGAGTATGAGGTGAGGATATTAGGCGTGATGTCAGACGTCCAAGATTATCACGAGAGAATAGGTTCAAGGCATGACGCTTTCCAGGCGATGGTGGTGTCATCAGAGTCGTGGTCGGCGAGTACAGCATCAATGCTCAAAACCAGCCTCCATGCCATTGCGGTGTTGACAGTCTGCGCAGATATTATCTCAAGGCCACAGTAACAGATTCATGAGCATTCACATGTCAAGTCACTGCGCTGGTACTTGTCAACTGTCAAGCTTGGTCGACAGCTTAAGCAAGTATTCCATCACTATTCACACCCGCCAAACCTACGATTTCCATACATCTATCGCTCGCCCATCACTTCCATCCTTCCCCACGCTCCCCAGCCTTCTCAAACTAATGACACCAAAGCATTATCCCCCATTATCAAGATACACACATGTCCTCGGCAACCGATCATACTTTCGATATTAACAAAGCGCGTGCTGACCTTGCCGCATACGGGAAGGGTGAACCTTGTCATAATACCCGGGTTAGTTGATATATAGATTGTTCCCGCACACACCTCGCTACTGTTGCGCCAAATGACGCCCACGGCCAAGTGAGATATGCAGAGCGGATGCAGGTGCGGATGCCCAAGAGGGCGTGACCGTTGTTCCGTACAACGGATGCGATGCGACCTGGGGATTATTTAGGATGGACATTGATGAAGGGGCATGCTTCGATACCCACACCTCTGCGCCCAACTTGATTACTATCGCCTAGCAATAGACGAGACAGAAAAGAAAAGTCTTTCATGTTGGGAGGCCAGGAATATGTGCTGGCTTGCATCCGACTCGTCCAAAACCCGAGCCAGTAGTGACAGTTTGTGCAGTCACGATCCGGTGAACCCTGTCTTAAGATTGCCTCTTCTGCACTCAGCTTGTCGGTTACTGGCCGTGCCATAACCACCCATGTTCTTAACAACCAGCTAGGGTGCGGCCACGCGCACGTAACGAGAATGCCGAGGCAGGCATATGCTGGATTAGGGCGAGGTGAACTTTTGCTGACCTTTCGCAAGACGATCGCTACCTAAGGCATACGTAGGTATGGGCTGATGATGATGAAGAAGCTTTCGATATGACCACTTCCACGGGATGGCCGCAGACACACGTTTCTCGTTAAGAGCTTTCTATGCACCCTGACTGTGCAATCCCTTGCCGCCGTTCCCCCATGGGTTCTCTCTTTCTGCTCATCACTGCACGGTAGGAATAGCGATCATCTACTTACGTGTACTCCGCTTTCTTTCGGGAGCTAGGGGCCGTTGACCTAACTAGCGAATAGAGACAGCGCGCACAAACTGGGACGACGGGATACGCCGATGGCGAAAAAGGAAGAGAAGCATCAAGGATCGGCAAGCCGCTGCAATGGATATTGGGAAGCCTCACACTGTGCCCTCTTCCTGGTAATGGCATCCTCGTCTGCCATGTGGCAGTGGCAAACGGTTTCATGTTCCAATGCTGAGGTGGCGATTGCTATGTTTACCATTTGCTGATGGATAAGGATACAATAGCGAGGCGAACAGCGGAGATTGTATGCTCATGATCGGCAAGAAACTCTGCTGCCGAAGGGACATCGCTTACAGATGCATCGCGGATATAGGCTTTATCGGGATGTGGGGAGAACCATAGAGGCACTGCAAGTATGTGAGCTAGGTCTTCGAGTGAAGACCTAGTCTAGCATCGCTTCGCTTATCCACGGCCATCGATCTGGATGGAAGGTGAGTGTGCTAGACAAGCTCATCGTGCAGAGAGGCGTCTCAACAGATCTTGTGATGAAACTGACGCTTGAGACGTATTGGCTGATATGGTGTGGTTTGCTCAACAGCAACGTTGTCGCGCGCAGATAGGCGACGTCATTCCTTCCCAGGATGAATGAGTCTCAACTATAGTGCGCTTCTCGTGAAACCTGCAACATTTGCCAACTCATACTTCAAATTCCCCTCGATCCCTGAAGTTGACCCACACTGATGAAGTCTGACCGGTCACCTTGACAAACAATATTTGCATCGCACCACTGCGGCGATTGACAACAAGGACGTGCTAGCTCGGTGCCTTACTGCGCGATGCTGCACTGGCGCTGTGAACACCCGCATGTGCGCCGTTCCCTGTCAATCGGTGAAGGATGATATCGAACGCGGGTGCGAGTAATACTCCGGTGAGCGTTGAACCGTCAACCGCTTGCCGTCGCCGCATCCCGCATCTTTCGCGTACTGTCAGAGGCAAGAGGTAAAGGATCCAGGAGCCTGGTAAATGGTCAACCACCTCTATCGTTCCAGCCGCGGCTCTTCCTGCTGGTTGTGCGTCGCGTATAGTTTTGTTGGCCACATTCCTGTCCAGTGCTTCTGAATGCGTCAATAAAGTTATTGACCACAACATAGCGTATGCGCGCCAGCTCCGCCGCCAACGGCCCGCAAATATACTATTGGAGGGATGCGGAAAATGGAAAGTGGAGTCATAGCCAATAGTGTCGCCGAAAGTTGCTTGTTTTCGGGTCATGCGTGAGGCGAGGTACATAGGCTATATGCGGAGCTGATATAGCTCCGCTTCCCACAACGGCAGGGCATGGTCTTTGCGTAAACGCTTGGCGAAGTTCTCCAAGTCTTTGGAGAATTCTGTTCGTACCCTGTACGCAAGCGAGCCCAGATGTTGTTCAATCTCCGCTTGGTAGTGGTGAAGGTTCAGTCACATGATATATGTTTCTATGGTCGAAAGGTTCTCTTAACATGGAAGCTTGGTGGACTCTGGCAGTAAACGCACAACAGTTTCCTATCATAGTACTTGTGGTACTTCGACCTGAGTGATAGTGCTAACGATGCCAGTCAGCGGCTACTGTCCGTCTTCGCGATTGCTCGCGTATGCACCACGACAGTAACCTATGCGACTCCAGGTAAGATAGACTGTGCCTTGACTAACCGATACAACAGATTTGCTTCGCTTGCAGTGAGTCTGGCTGCGGTCTTCATTCAGTGCGGTGTCCAGGTCCGCAATATCGTTTGGCAACCCCTGTGACACTGGGTGACAACAGAGGGTTACAATCTGACGGGTGTAAATGCCGGAGGATTGGAAAACAGTCGAAACAGTTCGCGGTAGTCTCGCTTGAAAGTTCCTTGACGAGAGGCCTCATAGCTTCCTAGAGATCGGCAACGAGTGTTGGCAAACGCGGAAGCTAGGTGGGCGCCTCACCACCACCACAGTAGTCGCTGCTGTTGCGAAAGGGGCGGCCAGGTCTTTTGTCCTGCGTCTAACACTCTTAGAACACAGAATCCACTGCTGATGGCCAAATGCAGTCTTGTCGCGGGCGAGATATCTCGTCGGCTAGGGGCATCCCACAGCTACGCCGTCAACCGGAGGAGGTCGCCTCCGGTCGTCAAGGGAGGGTGGGTGTGCTGGGTGAGTCCACCATGACTGGCTTCAGTATGGCCAGCTGTACATGCTAGTTGGCAACGGCGTTGCAACACTGGCGTGACATTGTTGGAGGGTACCCACTCATGATGCAGCGGTGCTGCACAAGCAGCCAAGTTGCGGAGATACTCGCTCAACGTTGCTCGCACCTGATGGACAGTCTGACGGTGGTGAAAGCCGTCCATGAGCGAACGCGCGTTCGGGACGACCGAGACATCACTGAACCGGAGGCACGTTGCGGACCTGATCTGGTAGCGAGCGACCCAACACACTCGCCCTCCGGTCCAAGCCTGGTCGATAGCGCCTCACCGCTGACGATAGCAAACTGATGATGCGTTGTCATATATCATTCGCCGCGCAATAAGACGACCGTTATTGATAGGTGGATATTGCCGTGCATGCGTTGTTGGCTGAGAGACTTAACGATGGGCACTATAGGCAACGCTCGCCTCCAGTGCCAGA